TTTTTGATAGGATTTTTATCTGCGTGACATTTCTTTATCTTCAGCTTCCAATGTCCATAAATATGGTGGATATTGGCCTATTATTGACACACATTCAGCTTTGCCCTCTCCAATATCTCTTTCAATTCAAGTTTGCAATGAATTCCAACTTTGGATCCTCTTCGGGTTCCAACTAGGGGTCTTCTTCCAATTCCGAATTAGAAGATAAATGGGTGCAAATAAGGCAAGAAGATGAGGAATCCGATGAAGAAGATAAAGTATGGCACAATACATCATATATGGTAGCCATGGTTGGGGTCATAGCTTGTCAGGCAACTAAAGAACAACCCCAATGAGGTGGCTCTATTACTAGTCATGGTTACAAGCCACGAAATAGAGAGATGGCGCATCAGAATCTGATGAACAACTACTTTAACCGTAACTCGATGTACAATGAAGAGGATTTCAAACGTCGCTTCCAGATGAGGTGTTATATCTTCAAGCATGTACTTCACGATGTCTAACATGACAATCCATACTTTCAACAAAAACTGGACAGAGCAGGCCACCCTAATTTCTCACCTCATCAGAAGGTTACTATTGCACTCTGAATGCTGGCATATGCCTTCCCAACTGATGCGATGGATGATACATATGGTATGTCTGAGTCTACATACCTTGATACTCTTGCTGAATTCTGTCAAACACTTGTTCAGCTTTACAAAGAGGAGTACCTCCATTAACCAAATCAAGCAGATCTAGATCGGCTCCTTCGTAAAGCTGAAGATTGTGGCTTTCCGGGCATGATAGGGTCATTAGATTGCATGCATTGGCAGTGGAAGAACTGTCCCACCGACAGGCAAGGAGGCTTTAGCGGAAGATCAAGAAAGCCAACAATAATGTTAGAGGTGGTTGCATAATTTAACACATGGATCTGGCATGCTTTCTTTGGAGTCCCAGGATCCTAAAATGATATTACAGTTCTTGGTCATTCACCCATCTTCAATAACCTGACAGAGGGTAAATCACCTCAACTTGACTACTACGTCAACAGGCGTCAATACAACATGGGGTATTACATGGCAGATGACATATACCCAAAGTGGATGACACTTGTCCAAGCAATTGCAAACCCTATGAATGACGTCGAAAAGTAGTTTACCTTACACCAAGAGGCATACCGGAAAGATGTTAAGAAAACTTTCTGTATTTTACAAGCACAGTATAAGATCATCAAGGAACTGGCAAGAGGGTGGAGTCAAGAAAATTTGGACTTCATCATGATATCTTGCATCATATTACATAACATGATTATGGTAAGCCAGATGGGTATATTGATGGAGAGTCTGATGACGACCAACAGGATCCAAATAAGTCAAGAAGGGCTTATGCAAAAATATATGATGGGCCTAATTTGTCTTTAAATCTAAGAACTGGTAATATCTCTTTAAATAAGTACATGAGGCGTCATAGGATGATACGTTCCTGCCCCACAAACAAGTACCTACAATAGGATCTTGTTACACATCTTTGGGCTAAAAGAAGTATAGAGTAGGCGTTTAAGTTTTATGTTGTTAAATATTTTTTTTAATGTTGTTTAAGTTCCATGTTGTTAAATGTTTTTTTTATGTTGTTTAATATTACTAAATGTTGTTTAATGTTATTTAATGTTGTTTAATGGCTTAGGTAGTTATAGGGAAAAAAATAGAATTTAAAAAAAAATTTAATTTTGTAAAAAAAAAAAGTTGTAAAAAAAAATTTTCAAATATAACAACTGGTTGACGTCAGCAAGTAGCTGTTGGATTCAAACTGCTGGACCGCCCTGAGGCTGGCTGGCTAGCTGGGTTTGACAAAACCCGATCCCAATGTCCCCCAGACATTGGGATGGCCACGTGCTGACCGACACTCGAGGGTGACGCAAGCCATTTAATGAATGCATATGTTGAGAACATGTAAAACATGCGTATAAATTTCGTTCGAACTACATAAAATAATATACTAATATTCAATTGCCAACAATGATAAAAATAGTGATAGTGCATAACATTTTCAGAGCATACATCTAATTCAAAATACAACAGAATGTGCTATTACAATGATGTCAAAGCAAAGATGATGGCACAATATCACTGGTAGGGGAAAGCCTCATAGTGCGGATCGTAAGCCTTGTTCCTATGTCCTGAGGGGGCGCAAAACAAACATGAGTGGACCAAGTTGATATATATATATATATATATATATATATATAATATTGAAACAATTATCAACATATTAACCCCTAAAGTTTTATGAAAACTAATAGCATAATAGGTGACATATTTTGTCGAAAACCCTAGCATGCCATAAGACCTTTCATAAAACATATCTCGTATATAATGTGCTAACTAGTGGTATCAGTATTGCCCATACGCACAGAACAGGGCCCTACACATGCCCACTCGAAGGCAATATAAGTATCGTCGTCCATACGTACAGAATAGTGCTCTACACACGCGCGCCCGAAGGCAATATAAGTATCTTCGCCCGTTGGCAGAACAGTGACCACTAGATAAGCATAAAACATTGAACACAGTCTTTCCAACATAAATACATATGTCTCAAAACCACTTCGTAGTATATAGTCATCCATCATATATACTACAAAGAGTGTGTAAAAACATGGTCATAAATAGTATATAGTCATCCATCTATTTACTACAAAGAACATATTCCAAAATATTCTCAGTAAGCATGATAATCATAAGGTGTAAATCTAATGACTCATAAAATGTAATTATTAAATCATGCTTTTCATGTATGCATTTTTACTATTAAAACATGCATTTTAGAATGGGTCCACTCACAAATATTCCTTCGTTGAAGAGCCGTACGAAATAGGCTGGACGGAAACGCCGCTAATAATTACACCTAAGCACATAAAGGGTCCAATTAATAAAATTATACTCAAATTCAATTTTGAAAATGGACGTCATAAACGGATTCAAGACGTCAAAAAACATTAGGGTGAACCTCGGGTACCCTCCACAGTCGCCCCACGTGTCATCACAAGGTGGTGGTTCCGGCTGCCACGCACCGGCACCATCAAGCTCACGTGCGGCTGGGCTTCTGGGTTGGATCAGATTTTGGCTTGGGTTCCTTGGGTCAAAGGCCTAATCTTGCACGGCCCAAAGGCCTAGGGTCCAAGGGTCCGACCTAGGGTTAGTTGGGTTAAGGGTTTCTAATGAGCTTGGGCTTGAAATCCCGGCCCAAGGGTCATTAGGTTTCAAAAAAAAAAAATTAATTAAATGGTTTGGGTTGGGTTTAGGTTTAACGGGCCTAAGGCTCGAGTTTTACACGGCCCAAAGGGCCTGGGTTCATTGGGTTTGGGTCATTGAATGGTTTCTCACCGAGGAACGAAGGTCGGAGCCTCTCGTGCTCCGGTCAACACCAAAACACCACCTTACTCTACGATATAGGTACCAAAACGGTGAGAGAGAGAGATTGGTACCTGAGATCTATTATGAAAAGGGCCAAAGGTGTGGCTAGACTTAGCTCAAGAGTCACAAGGGTTCATCGTGGTGTCTCTTTGGGTGTGCATGGGTGTCGATCGAGAAGGAGAGAGAAGAGGGTCCGAGAGGGAGAGTGAAAATGAGAGAGAATGAGTGAGCTGAAAGAGAAAGTTCGAGGAGAAGAGAGAGAATAAGATAGGTGTGGGTTAAGGCCTGCCACGTGGCAATTAGAGGAAGGGGAGAATCTAAAAAGTAGATCCGGATTGGGTGGAAAGTGAGGGGTAAAAATGAAAATTCATAATTCTAATAAATGAAAATACAATTTATTTAGGGTGGGGTTTAACAGGGTTGGGCTAGCCGGTTGGCCATTTTCTCCTTTTTTGGCCTAGTGGGGCCCACGAGCCCTTTGGCCTAACCGTCGATTGGAGACGGTGTTTGTGTCATTTCGGGTTATTTTTTGCTTTATGACCCTCATACTTGATTGGTTGGAGATGGCCTTAGAGATTATATTTTGTAGACCATATATGAATCATTTATTTAATAGAGTAGGAGGGTTTATATATGATTTACAAAATTTAATGTCCATAGCATCACAATTTTTCAAATTCTGCCTCTTTCGCCACATGACTCAATATGTATATTGTGGATGCAAATTTCGTCTAAGGGTAATTGACAAAATTACATATATAACAAGTAACATTGTTAGCCTAATTGACAAACACACGAGAAAATAGGAAACCTTGTCAACCAAAGGACCTCTAATGCCTAAGTTAGAAAATAAGAGAAGTCCCTGGTGGTAGGGCTTTGGCAAGTGTATGCCCCATAAAGCAGGGCACTCAATAAAGACTTTGAATAGTTGACCTCTGCGGCCTCATTGAGCCAGGAAAGGCACGGTGGCAGGAAAGGGATATCATAGGCTCGAAGGGCACTTTGATATGTGTATGAGTCCGAAGGCAAGCAGATGCTTAGCCCCCCTTAAGGTTTGGTGTGGTATGCTCAAAATTTCAATGATAAATCTGTCATATTAAGTTATAAGTTTATATGTCGTTCTTTTATTTGATGTAGTTAATTTATGTCTTCCCTATATTATAACAATGCATTTGATGAAATAACATTTTTTTTTTGTTTTCGAGAAATGCTAAGGAGCGATTTGTTGTATCCAAATCTAATCTCCCAAACCTCTTTTCTTTTCTTTTTTTTTTTTTTTTTTTTTTTTTTGGTTCTTCAATCTAACTTGCTTTTATGCGTATTAAATGAATAACAACGACTCCCGTTTGACCGACTTTTATTTCGGTCCAAACTCAAACTGTCGACAATCGTACAAGACTTTGACTCTGGATCTCGAGTATAATTTGAAAATAAAAAGAGAGAGAAAAACTTATATAAAACGGATCTACGGTTATATAACGTCTTAATTCACTGAAACAATTATAGGTATTTTAAAATGTACTCAACTATCAAAAATTTTACAAGACTTTGACTTTGAATCTTGACTACTACTTTGAAAAAAGAAAAGAGAGATGGTGAGAACAATTTATATGAAACGAGTTTATTGTTACATACTTTCTCATTGTACTAAAACAATAACGTGTTAAAAAACGTACACATATCAAAGTTTTATTAGAATGGAACACTACAATGGTGCTAAACCTGTTTCATATAAGCTCCATGAGACGGACACTTAATGTTGTTCTGAACATCAAATATGTGTCACCACTGAATGCATGCACTTACTCAAGAAAAATCGGTGCAGATGGAGATGATGAGTTGTGAAAGAAAGCCAGCAATAGGAGGCAATATCATAGTAAAAAAGGTGTTGCCATTGGCCAAATGATGATCATCATAGGCAGCCGTTGTTTGTAAAGTTGGGCATAAAATCATGAGCTTCCTTCCCTTTTCCTTTTCATCTTTTTGCCTGGCAAGCATGGAGCTTTCCGGCATAATTGCGCTTGATTGAGAGCTCCTAAGTAAACCACCCTACACACTTTTTAATCACAATCATCGCAGTCAATCAAATGTTCAAACAGCCTAGAACCGCCAAGAAAGACCGCTTTTGTACGTTCAACTCCAAATTCAAAGAACCGGTGTAAAAAACTTAAAGCTAAGGAGCCGTTGTGATAACCATTTTATTTTCGATTTTTAATTTATAATTTATAAAAAAAATTGAGCTAATTATCAAACAAGTTTTCAATTCTCATAATAATGAAAACTAAATACCATCAACCAAAAACTAAAAATTGAACTAAAAACAAAATAATTATCAAACAGTCTCTAAATTAACCGAGGCCTAAAAAATTCAAAATAACTTTTGGAATAACTTTTGGATTCCAATACTAGCTTTTTGTTCTAGAAGTGGCACGCTTACCCACTTCCGTCGTAAGATTTACTCAACTTTGTTGAACCTGACTTCTGAAGAGGGCAGATTTTGGGCAAACATGACAATAACACCATCCGTCAACCCTTAGGCCAAACACCACTCTATTTCAATTTTCGTTTACATTCTGTTTTCCTCTCTCCTTCACAAATTCTACGACAAGAAACGTATTTCGCACTCTAGTTTCAATACGTCATAAAATGAGTGCGTAAATCATTTTCTTTCAGAAATCAAATGCGTGGAATATTTTCCCACTCTACATGCATATACACACATGACGTAGATTTTCAAGAAATTCAGAGCTTCCACATTAGCTAATCACTGACATAATCAAGGACCAAAACTTTGACATCACAATTGCTTTAGACATACTATTTTATTTAAATTATATATATATTTGCAAACAAATAATGCGTCACCAATAAAATAAGCATATTAATCAACATTTAAGTAATAATCTAATGATCAACATCCATGTCATTTAGTTTACAAAATTTAGTTTAGAATTTTGGTCTCTCTAACATGACTCTGTATACATATACATATTACTTACCGTAAGGTACCGACAGGTTTCTTTGCTACATATGACAGGATAACGACCACGTCGTCAAGCTTGCCGCCACTATATCTGGCATACCCAGATGCCTTGGCTGCATCAGCAAATGGGCTCCTTGTAGATTTAGATCGCCCCAGCTCTTGTGCACTAGTGGCTAACAACTCTGCTATGTCCTTTGAATAGTTGCACACACAGACAACCAAAAGAAAATGCATATAAGAAACCACTACAAAGTACTTAAAAACTAAAGCTGTCTGTTTTACCAGCAATCATGGTTTTCCTAGCTCAAGTATTTTGCTGATAAAATCGGAAATTATACGTATGAAAGTCATTGAACGAAAAGATATGGCATCACCGCCATCAAGCCATGTATGCTTTCTCCAAATGCACTTTTTGCAATGTCTGTGGCACCTTTAAGCGAATGCATGACAGTTCTTTTCTTATTTGGTTTCCTTTTCAAAGAAAGCTTACAGAAAAGAAATATATACAAGAAACCATTGAGACTACGCACCTGTAGTTCCAATCGGGTTTGCAGTGACTTCAATACAATTGAGGTGATGTCTTGCTCATACAAGTTATCGAAAAGGCCATCTGTTGCAGCGACAACCACATCTCCCTCATCCAAATCAATTCGGTATTTCTGAAAACAGATTATTCTTGTTACCATTATCTCTCTCATCGTGTAAAACAAGCAAGTTGCAAAAAGAGTTGGTAAAATAAAAACTAAAATATACTGTTTCTGCCATCATCTTCCACGGATAAGGGAGGTAAAAAGTTCAAATCTACTTCTTACGAATGATAACATATCAGGAGCTAGCATTATGGAAAATTTGTTTGGGCACACGATATGGTGATAAATTTATAATACACGTACCTCTATAAGTTCTGAGGGATCATCACCTCTTTCAACCCGTACTGGAAAATTGAATTCGTGAACCATTGGTGATGATTTTTCAAAGACAGCACCATTTCTAATAACGATAAATCCCGAGTTTCCAATGTTGGCCACATGAAGAGCCTGCAAAAGCAAATTTTCATTACCCTTGAACTTGAAATCAAAATTTTCAAGTATTACATTTTAAGGTTGTCATATGCATAACCAAACCATGGTTCACGAAAGAACACCCCATAACGCTATATGAGGAAGAAAAAAATATGAGATAATTAGTAATACCACCCTCATGGGATTAAAAAATATATCTATAAATAACTAAAGGAGAACCGCATGAATGTTTAATATATAACACGAAATAAGATCTGTCTATAACCTTTGTATACCTGGGCACATATATAAGTAACCTGCACTTGTTTAAGGTATTAGCATGTTAATTTTGGATTCAACCAACTCTCCCCTCTAGTTCCTTTCTTGTGGGTACTTCATTTACGGAAGACTAGAAATAATAATCTTAGTTAAGGAAAACTTCATACCTGACCATCAAAATAAGCAACCAGAACCGTGGATGATCCAGGAGATTTTGTATTTGATGAACCTTTAATAAGGACTTCTTCTGGTTCAGTCAATGGTAAACCTTTGCAATCGGATATGAACCTTTCACAATTCTCCATGAGTTCACGAGCATATAGTCCAGGATTAACCCCTGAATATATCAGGAGCAAAGTATAACAAATTTAGCCTAGATTTTGTCTAAACAGAGGGTTTAGGATTTAAGGCATATTGCACAAATAAGAAAGAACATTTGACTTTTGCCGTTGCCTTCAGTGATGAAGTAAGTGGGTTAGCTAGCAGTAGCTTTTTGCCCATGGAAAAAAAGACTATTTAACAAATGGAGATTGAGATATAAGTATGGCTATCAGCCATCAGGCTATCAATTATTCCAGTTCAACTTCCATGCTACGTATCGTTATATGCTATGACCATTGGATGGTCTAGATTCACGGAACCACAATAAAAACAATAATCCAAACCAATTTAGGTCATCCAATACTCGTAGCATAGAAGAATTTTCCCAAATATTTAACAATTATGGGAACCCTGAACCAAAAACGTGAACACAAAAAGTACACAAGGATACACCCACATACAAACAAGTTTAACTTCATATTGTGTAATCAGAAGTGAATAATTTAACGGATAAATATGTAAAATATTTTGGCTTCACCGTTGAAATAAGTGGGTTAACTAGTGATAGCATTTGGAAAAGAATCTGGTAGTCTAACATGCTGAGATATAGGTAAGGCCATCCAATATTCCTAACAGTATTTATCGGGCAAAATTAAACTTCAAGGTGGCGATACCTTCTAGTGACCACTGACCCACTCCATCGGCCACACCTAACCAATTTTGGCAACCAACAAAGTAAGCATCCTCCCCACCTGTCAATGCCTGGAATTTATTAATTCGTAAATTATTTACAGTTATGCTAAATGCAAGCGAAAGGTCAAGTAAGTATGGTGTGTGTGCACGCAAGTTTGTATGCATGTGTGTGTGTGTCTACCTGCGTATAAATAAACGAGAGAGCATTCAAGACCAACCGAACATAAAGCTCGTTTACGCAAATATGCATCTGTGGGTTAGATATGTGTAACTGTCTACCTACATACAATTGAATGCATTGATAGATGCCATACCGCTATTAGGCAATACAAGTTATCATGTCCACTTCAAAAGGATAAATTTTGGTACTCTGCTAGCAATTTTAGCTAAAAAATTTAGAACTTTTCTACATTTTTTCCTTCACATGGGGCATAAATGAAAGTGAATAGGGCACGTATCATATAATTTTGAAAGGGAATTCATGAGACCAAAGTCAGACTGAACTGAAACTTTGTTTTCTTGTAAAAGTATAACATATTGAATACAACACAAACTTGTTTGTCAACATTACATGCAAAAATGTTGGCAGATGAGTTAGTGTAGCATTCAGTATGTCCCCCCTCACTGTTTTGAGTTTCTTATCAAAAAAGAAAGTACACGTTCACAATATTAGGTACCACTCTAAATTATCCAAAAGCTATATAAAGTGTGTACTAAAACATTACATTGTAAACTTGAGAAGATACCTTTGAGGGATGGGGTAATAATGCAGCACTAGAAGATAGTTGAAGAACGGCCGCAGATACGTCCTCCCTGTGGAAGAAAGAACGGGTAAGCTGTCCTAACAACTTAGTGTAGGAAAACAAAGCATGAACGAAAACATCAACAGGGCTTTTCCCAAAATCTTCTCCTTTCACCACCATTACCAAGAACCGATTTCGTATAACAAATAAACTCATGCCATCCTTGTCCGTGCACCTATTGTACACAGACAGCTGCACCATTTTTTAACTCCTCAGGTGAATTCTACTGTCCTTTCATTTTTCAACAGAAAATTATATCTTAGAAGAAGATGAACTTCAAAAGCAGAAAAAGTATATGAATATTATTTATTAGAGGTATATCAAGATTCAAGAGAAAAACTAGCATACCCATCAGACGCGCTTTCAACTGTATTGAATTCCACTATCCTAGAAGTTGATATTCCTGAAACATCTGTTGTATCAGCTTTACCCTCTGTGAATTCATCTTCTGGATTTGTGGAAGGGGCCATTCTCAGCTAACTATGTACAATACAAAACAAAAGCATGTGATCCTTAATACTAAAGAACTGTGTGATGTGCCAGACTGAAAAATAAAAGTAACTGTATGCCCAATGAGCCAGCTGCCAAGTTTAAGTAAAGGTCAAGCTATAAATTAAGAAGACATGTAAAACATGTGTGCAGGAGTGCGGGTGTGCATGTATGTGCAGATTCAAGACTTTTGGAAATTTAATCTAGTTGTCTCTTGGGGTCTTATAAAACAAAATACAGGTCCCCCACTGCTAAGTTATCATGTATCTGCTAATGTACACGTTTCTAGTAATAACTAATTCGTAAAAAGGACACCGAGCAGGATTGCAGGTGCGTAATGTATACCATTGCCTCCTTATCTGCACCAAGGAGGATTGCGGGTGTGTAATGTACACCATTGGTAGTTCGTACAAATCTCCGTAAGAGCTTAACTGCTAACACATTGGACCTTCATATTTCAATCATAAAGAGGAAAGGAATAGCCATCCAGATCATCAGGATACATAAATTATCATCCAATTTGCAGTAGCTTCGATTGTAACCCCTCTAATTGATGCAGAAGTCCCAGTGACAAAGTTAATAAACAAAATATAAAAATGAACCTCGAGTGCAATTTCCGCATTTCTTAAACTTCCAACTCTTCCACCATGTTTATTATTGAGTCTGAAAAATCAGTAGCTTTATTAAAAATTTAGAACAAAACAATAAAGAACCAAACACATATCTATTATTCATGTCAATTAGTAGCCTCTATCACTGCATCTTTAAATTCTTGTAATTATTGTGTATTCCAGACAAAAATGAGAAGAAAGAAGTGGTAAACCCTTGAAGGGTGTTGAAAGCATACAGAACCCAAAATCCAAATTAGACACTAGCTCCATGCCCTCAATCGCTTTAACTGGTCTATTTCAAGTTATACCTTGTAGGTTTGAGAACAGTACGGAAAATACAGCCAAATAACCATCTGAAAATTTTGAAATTGATCTCAGCAAAACAATGCTGCACTTGTAAAAATGCTTCCTCTCAACCATCAAAGACGAAAAAGGAAAAAGGGAGTAGCCCCGGAAACCTTACTAGTAAGTAGTAACTAGCATATTCCTTGACAAAAGTCCCATGCAAACCAGCCTTAGACACTCCTTGCACTAGATTCCACAAGTCCCGTCTAGAAAACTGAAAGATTCTCGGTTGTTGAAATATTCACATATAGCATCTAACCCCATTCAAGCATCCCTTCTAGTCATTAGACATTTTTTTTTTTTGAGAAGAAACGATAACAAGTTATTGAAACAATAACATGAATTACAAAAATAGTGGATAATCATGATATCTATCTATCCACGATACGAATCCATGTGTGCCTGTGTTGGTGTTGGTGTAGTAGTCTATATTTGGACTAGGATTGCGAAATAGCTGACCAATTCAAAATTTCTTAAAAAGGTGAGGCAAGGCAAGAATCAAGACTTAATTAGCTTTACTAACCACTGGTGAGACTTGAGTTTCATCTGCTGTGGTGGTTGGTGTGGCCGTGGTTGTGATTGTAGTTGTGGTTTCTTCACCACTGCCACCACCAGTTGCATTGTTGGTGCTCGTCACTGAAACCGCATCAACAGCATTCTCCTCAGCCTCAGCATGAGCATGAATGTCATTGCTGACTTGAGTTTCATCTGTTGTGGTTGTGGTTGTAGCTGTGGTTGTGATTTCCTTGCCACCACCGCTACCACCTCCAGTCGCAATGTCAGTGCTCGTCACTAAAACCGCATCAACAGCATTCTCCTCGGCCTCGGCGCCGCTAATTGCTGGAAAAGCATGAATTTCATTGCTGACTTGAGTTTCATCTGTTGTGGTTCTGGTTGTAGTTGTGGTTGTGGTTTCTTCACCACCACCACTACCGCCACCAGTCGCAGTGCTGGTGCTCGTCACTGAAACCACGTCAACAGCATTCTCCTCGGCGCCACCAATTGCTGGAAAAGCATGAATTTCATTGCTGACTTGGGTTTCTCCTGTTGTGGTTGTAGTTGTGGTTGTGATTTCTTCACCACTACCATTACCGCCACCCCTTGCAAAGCCAGTGCTCGTCACTGAAACCACATCAACAGCATTCTCCTCGGCCTCGGCGCTGCTAATTGCTGGAAAAGCATCAATTTCATTGCTGACTTGAGTTTCATCTGTTATGGTTGTGGTTGTAATTGTGGTTGTAGTTGTGGTTTCTTCACCACCGCCACTACCACCATTGGTCGCATTGTTGGTGCTCGTCACTGAAATCGCATCAACAGCATTCTCCTCCGTCTCGCCACTGCCATTTGCTGGAAAAGCATGAATTTCATTGCTGACTTGTGTTTCTTCAGTTGTGGACCTTGTGGTTGTAGTTGTCGTTTCTTCGCCACCAGTCGAAATGCTGGTGCTCGTCAACAAAACCGCATCAGCAGCATTCTCCTTGCCCTCAGCATGAATGTCATTGCTGACTTGACTTTCAACTGTTGTGGTTGTTCTTGTAGTTGTGGTTGTGGTTTCTTCACCACCACCACTACCGCCACCAGTGACAACGTCGATACTCGTCACTGAAACCGCATCAACAGCATTCTCCTCGGCCTTGGCGCCGCCAATTGCTGGAAAAGAATGAATTTCATTGCTGACTTGAGTTTCATCTGTTATGATTGTGGTTGTAGTTGTGGTTCCTTCACCACCACCAGTCGCATTGTTGGTGCTCGTCACTGAAACCGCATCAACAACATTCTCCTTGGCCTCAGCAGCGCCTGTGCCAATTGCTGGAAAAGCATGAATTTCTTTGCTGACTTGAGTTTCATGAAGTTCTTTGCTGACTTGAGTTTCATTCGTTCTGGTTGTGGTTTCTTCACCACCACCACTAACGCCACCAGTCGCAATGCCCGTGCTCGTCAACGAAACCGCATCAACAGCATTCTCCTCGGCCTTGGCGCTGCCAATTGATGGAAAAGCAGGAATTTCACTGCTGATTTCAGTTCCATCCGCTGTGGTTGTTGTTGTGGTTGTGGTTGTAATTGTGGGTTTTTCACCACCATCACCGCCGCCAGTCGCACTGCCGGTGCTTGTCATTGAAACCACATCAACAGCATTCTCCTTGGCCTCGGCAGCGGCGGTGCCAATCGCTGGAAAAGCATGAATTTCATTGCTGAGTTGAGTTTCATCTTCTGTGGTTGTGGTTGTGATTGTGGTTATGGACCTTGTGGTTGTGGTTTCTTCGCCACCGCAGCCAGTAGCATTGTCGGTGCTCGTCGCTGAAACCGCATCAACAGTCTCATTGGCCTCAGCGGCAGCACCACCGCCACCACCACTCCCTCTTCTTCCCAACAATGTTTGGCTCAATTCTGAATCTTGCACGGCATCCTCCAGATGACTTTGAGCATCAGTTTCTGTTTCAGTAGTAACAGATTTCTCGCTCTCGTCCCCAAAGCGGAAGAGAAGGCTGCCATCCCATGACTCTGTCACACACAAGTCAAAAGAAATCAAATAAATAATACTAGTAACGATACTCGCACTCACACATACACTCTGTTTGTTTCCTGAGAAAATTGTGTTTGTTTCCTGAGAAAATTGGGGACAAACATACCGGTTGTGGAAATGATGGCAAAGTTTGAGGAGGAGGATGAGTGCGGCGGAAGCGTCCGGCGGTGTTTCGGAAATCCAATCGGAATCCTAGTGAGGCGTGTTTCGTGCAGGGGTTTAAGTGGCGGAAGAATGCTGGTTGGAACGGAGAAGCTCAATCCGCTTCTCACGAACGGATTACCCATTTTCCTGATTTTTATTATTATTACGTCATCGTATAAGGCAATCTACAATGCATTTGTTTTTTTTTTTTTCCTTTTATATTGGTTTTTTTGTGAAAGAGAGAGATACAGCGACTGAAAGACATTATTGTTGTGAATATTGGTACCGTTTATTTTAACGAAAAATACATATTTTTTTTTGATACTATTCACTACATATTTATTTGTCATTTTTTATTAAAACTAAATTTTTTTTAAACTCTTCGTTAGTTTTCCTTTTAAAATATCGATATAGGTAGAAATATTGATAAATGTATTATTAGTGATATCAATTGACTTTAATCGAAATATGGATATTTGCAATTGGAGGGTTATCAACTCATTCAAATAAATTGATTGATATTAGAGAAAAAAAAATTCAAAATTTGAAATCTGCAATGGATTTGACAAATCGAAGTTTTTATTTCACCTCATTTCCACAGTGATCTTTGATTTTTTGGATATTTCGATGGAATTATCGGTAATTTCTTGAATATTTTAAATAATGCGGGGCATAAATGTTTAATGGAGAAAGATTTCCATGGTATGTACCGCCAGGGCAGTATTTTGTGCAAATAAATAGAAGTATGTGTAAGTTTTAAACTCAAAAAAGTACAGAGGAGTGGATAGTATAATTCTATCATTATCATTGTGCACGACCTAAATGAGAATCCTCTCGAATCCTTTTTGATTCTGAAAATTCTTTAATTGTGTTTATTCATGATACATTGTGTGGTCAATTTTTATCAGATATTATTTGTGTTTAATTTTAAGTAAAATAATTTAAAATAATTTCTGATCACAGAATGTAAGAGTACGAGTAGACACAATTAAAGGATAAATCCGGAGAGGATCCTCATTTCAGGGACCTCGATGATATTTTGTACCCTTAGCCTATATGGCTAGTCCACGTGGTTGGAGGGAATATACGGATGCGGATGGAGGTCCAGTTCCCATTGGTCCGTAATCTATCTAATACAACCAAGTCGGATTTCATTATCCTAGTTGGCCACTCCCAACGCCACCCTTTAGATTCTCTCTCTCCAACTCAATGGTGATAAAACACCGCCCAAACAAACCACTCTCACTCTCAAACGTTCATTGCCACCAGAAACACTCACTGAGTCTCTGTTTTTGCTCGTTCGAGAGAGGAGAGAGAGAGGAGAGAGAGGAGATGGCGGCAACCACCGGTGCAGTGCTCAACGGGTTGAACTCGGCAGCCTTCTTATGCGGAGGCAAAAGAAGTCAGGCCTTGCTCTCCGCTGCCACTGTTGGAAGCAGGGTTGGAGGTCCTGCTCCTAAGAGGTTCATTGCGGTTGCTGCTGCCGCAAAGAAGTCTTGGATCCCGGGGGTTAAAGCCGGCGGCAACTTCATCAATCCCGAGTGGCTCGATGGCTCGTGAGTTTCATATATTATCCACCATATTATAATTCTAAGTTTGTCACACATACACATATGAATCTGATCCGATAAATGCGTGCAGGCTTCCAGGGGACTACGGCTTTGACCCACTAGGACTCGGCAAGGACCCGGCGTTCCTCAAGTGGTACAGAGAGGCGGAGCTCATCCACGGCCGGTGGGCAATGACCGCGGTCGTCGGCATCCTTGTTGGCCAGGCCTGGAGCGGTGTCCCATGGTTCGAAGCCGGAGCTGACCCCAGCGCCATAGCACCCTTCTCCTTCGGCTCACTGCTCGGCACTCAGCTCTTGCTCATGGGGTGGGTGGAAAGCAAAAGATGGGTGGACTTCTACAACCCCGAGTCCCAGTCCGTCGAGTGGGCGACACCCTGGTCCAAGACTGCGGAGAACTTTGCCAACGCCACCGGAGAGCAAGGCTACCCGGGAGGCAAGTTCTTCGACCCCTTGGGGCTTGCCGGCTCCATCAAGGACGGGGTTTACGTTCCAGATAGCGAAAAGTTGGAGAGACTGAAACTGGCTGAGATTAAGCATGCAAGGATTGCTATGTTGGCTATGCTTATATTCTACTTTGAAGCTGGACAAGGAAAGACACCCCTTGGTGCTCTTGGCTTGTAAACCATTTGGCATTTACTTTTTAATATGTAGATATAAGTAATTACCCAATTTTTTTATCCTTTCCAGCACAAGGACAAGCAATCTGTTTATAATCAATCTGATAATTCAATTTAATCGCTACGTAAGTGTCGTTACCGACATCTTGTCTCCCTAATCATGGCAAGAATTAACCATAAAAATCTCTTTAACAAAATGTTAACTACCGAAAAACGCATACACGCAAGAGAGGATCAAAAACAAAGCGAAGAAAAAAGTAGCTACGAGTAAAGTACATGAACCAGCTTTAGCAATGATTGAAATTACCGAAAAAATTGAGATCAGTCACCACCGGTACCAGTAGCCATCAAAAACTCCCCCTCACATACGACTTCACCTCCAACGTAGGCCTTGCCTTCCATCTTTGCAATTCCAAAGCGTTTCTGCAACTTAATAAGCGTCATTCTCATCACTAATGTGTCGCCGGCAATCACTGGTTTCCTGAATCGAACTTTGTCAATTCCAGCGAAAAAGAAAGTGTCACGAGAGCCTCCCACTTCTGGTTGCAGCATAACCAAGCCACCAACCTGTGCCATTGCCTAGATACAACAAGCATTGACATATATCATTACTAATCCAAACAAAACAGCCAAGTGTTAACGGGAAATTTAGTCAACAGCAGCAATACGCATTATCTTGCTGTGAAGCATACAAAATGTGATTCTACAACAAGTATATCCTAAAACAGTTACATTTGCTCTGAACTTTTGTTAAGAACCATCAATCAAAGATATGATTAGGTGCTCGTGAATGGAATAACAAACGACTACAAGAAAACCACAGAAGAATGAATGGACAAATGGTGCGTCAGGAACAACCAAACCCCAAAAACTAAACTAAGTGAAAAACAGAACCCCTAACCCACAAAAGCAGACCATGGAATGAGGCAAGCATAGCAAAATTCCAGGGTATAGCATTCTTTTTATCTCCTCTCCCAGGCCAAATTCACTCCGAAAAGAATAATAGTTCCTTGAAGCAACCTGGTCCAAACCAAAGGCCCTAACTTACCTGTTCCAAATCAATATCGTGAAGGCTCAGTGCAAGAAAATGTGTTCAGAAGATTCAGCCATACCTTTTCAGAGTAGACATCAATTATGATATAATTTAGCATATGGCCTCGTATTCCAAAGCATATCACATGAATTGATATTGCAATGAACTATCAGCCAAAGAAAACTATAATGGGAACCGAGACTCCCAAATAAACTTTTAAGGACCAAAGGTGGGATGGTTTGGGTTATCAAGCAAAGAAAGACAGAAAAACTTGCAAGAAAAACCCCAGAGTCTTGGATAGCCCCCAGACACTTCTGTCAAGAAGACAGGATGCAAGACAACATTAATAATGCATCCCAAACCAGACCAGTTGATAGGACATAAGTCGTTCACAATGAGGTTTATTAGGGATCAAATTAAATAGGTCTAATTAGTACAATAAATTGACAATTCTCTTGCAAACACTTGTGGAAAATGTCAAGATTTTCCATAACCACTTCCCTACAATTCTTAAAACCCGCCAAATAGATGATGTCCAGTCCAAATGATTTCTTACTGCCACACTCAAAAAATTGCACTAGCAAACTCTTCCTTCAAATGATCGTTCTGACCAAGCCTCCTTCTCATATATAGGACTCCAATCTACATGCTCTAGTTTAGAAACCTGCTCCAAATTCTTTCAAAAGCCAAAATCCCAACTCAAGGATATTTCAGCAGAGTTCATAAGACTAGAAATAGTCTTATAATATTATAAAGCCAGGGAAATAAATTCTGTAAAGAGTTTCACGCAGCCACCCTAAATTCAATTTCATCTTCCCCTAATATATACATATATATAACCCAGGGAAATATCTTTCCGATGACTACAATTTGAGCCATTCATACATATCTTGAGTTCTTGACTAGTTGGGATTACGAATATCTGCAACTATCTTGGGAATCCTATACGAACTAGTTATAAAACCAGTCAGAGCATCAATTTGGGTTCAGATACATATTATCACTTTAGGAATACATATACATTCTCTCCACTGCAATTGCACAAATACATGCTCTTTCTACAATAGCTGGGATATCAGTTTTAGGAGAAATCTTAGAGAGAATATGATGGTGGAGATCACAAACTTATTGAGGTGCACAAGGTGATGAGATTATTTTGATACAGAGAGGATGCAAGAAGATAGTGCTTAGGGCCTTCTTTGAACATCTTACTTACATTGGTTAGCCTTAACCTGCTAGTTTAAATTGCAAGTATGGGAAAGAACATGATAGCTTAGAAATAGTTGCAAAGTTAGCATGATCAGCGAAAAACATCCTGTAAATGTATCTAGGGTTAACAAAAAGATGTATTGCAATTTTCTCAAGCCTCTACTCACAACTCTGTAAATGTACCAATAAAGGAATATAGTAGAAGGAAATAAAGGTTATAAAAATTTCATCAAAAAGGAAAAAACATATCTCACTGATGAGCCGCCATAGTTAAACTGACATTTATCCATCACAATTTTCATGCGTCAAAGCAATTCATAACTTAGTAACAGAGACAGCTAGAAGAGCCCCTCATATACCAAGGTGCTCACGGTTGAGGGAAAAGATTACTGTTAGAAACTTAGAATAGGTCAAGTATTTAATCCCATCCCAATTACAATAAATAAATACTGAAAATTCTCGCTCCCACGTTGGAGTATCCTTTACGAAGAAAGAAAAAAAATGCTTCAGCATTCTGAATACTTCTTTTTGATCCACATATAACCAGTTGCTGGACAATCTGGTCCAACTTTAAGTGGACTTTTCAAACCCTTGATATGTATTAATGCAGGGATTTTGGTGTGGAAAGAAAGATAACTCGGTCAACTTTTCAGTTGCTGATCAAGTGGCATAGCCACCAGGCAATCACCAGACATTAAACCAAACGCCAGTACAAGTTAGTTGCTCAGTTGTATCCGGCAAGTCGCGTAAACATGGTATTTACACAAATGTCATCTTATCTTTTTCAATAATTACAAGTTAGAATACATACAATCACACAAATCAGAACTCAAAAAGAAGTGAAATCTACTCCAATGTTTTCATGTTACTGTCACTCAGTGACACCATCTCAGTGAGTAGCATTGACATGTCCTTGACTTAGGGAAAGAGAAAAGGCTTAACATTGTGCAGAGTGGACCATGTACAACTCGACATGCATGTTTTTGTACAGGATTTTTCTTAGATTCACCATTAATTTTACAGTTTTAACATATTACTAATGTTGCTATTATTTTTGTTAGCTGTAGATCAGTACTCTAGATAGATTGGCGGAAATTGTGTCCCCTGTTTTGTAAGTTTCATATGCTTCTTCTATTAACGAAAGCACGTTTATTCTAATATATACGTATAAAATACACAAACACACACTCATGTATCTTTTAGTACGATACGAAAAAAATGATTACCTCGACCATGAGAACACCAGGCATGATTGGCCTCTCGGGGAAATGCCCGGGAAAGAAATTATCATTGATGGTGACATTCTTGATTGCAACAGCTGAAACTCCAGCATTGTATTCAATCACTCGATCCACTAACAGAAACGGAAACCTAAACCCCCAGAAACCCAATCAAACAAACAAAATGTAGACTCGAATTAGTTCAAATGATTTGGAAAAGAAACCGAATTTCGCAGGAAATGGTGCAGAAAAAGGCACAGACCGGTGAGGCAAAATTTCACGAATTTGATTGATGTCCATGACGGTAGGAAAAGCCTCATATCCTGCACAGGCACAGATGGAAGTTGTGATGAGGTATGATCAAAGAACAGAAAAGCAGAAATCAGTACGGTTCAGTTCTTACTGAGCTCAATGGGAGTGGTGTCTTTGTCTTTCGCAGCGTCGGCGGAGCAAAAGGTGGTGGTTGAGTTTCTCCTCTTAGTTTTCAAATGGGGCAACGGCGGCAGAGATCTGGGAATCGCGACGGCAACAGAGATTCGGGAGGGAGCATTTGGGCGGTGAAGGAGCGGGGAGTGGCAAGTGAGAGAGGCGGAGGAAGCTGCGGTCGACATTTCTTAGGGCTTAGGACTTAGGATTTAGGTGTGATCTGCGTCTCTGTGCGAAGGGGGGTTTAAGACGAAGGAGGACGACAGTAACGAGGGTAGTTGTGTGAGAAGAAACGTCAAGCGCTTGGTTTCGGATTTCAATGGCGGAGATTACCATGAACTGCTCTTAACTACAGACGTTTTGGTGGAAATGTCATTGAGTAAATATTCGAGGGAGCAATGATAATGAGATTAAATTTATAGATTAAATTTACAAGTTAAATTATGTGTCATCAATAAAAAATGAGTACATTTATCAACGTTTAAGTAATAGTCTAATCATCAATTTTTATGTCATTTAATTTACAAAATTTGATCTATAAATTTAGTCTCTCTAACATTACTCAAATACTTTTTGAAGAAGCACTTAAGAAATTAAATGTGAGATTTTTCAGAGTGCTAGAAACAATCCAGTAGAACGTGTAATAATGTAATTCGTTGATAATTTGAAAAAAAAAAAATTATCAGCTAATTATATTATAATACTTAACGTACACAGTCAACCTTTGCATTTTGACATTTTCACTTTAACAAATAATACATGTCATTTTAAAAAAAAAAAAATTTAATGCTTTTGATTAAGAATTAAAGATGAAAGTTAAAAAAAATTAGGCTTTTTAATTAAAATAATCTTTGATATTTGCATGACATCTCACTTTAGTCCCTGTGATTTGAAATCAATAGAATTTATTCCTAAATTTGTCCACAATAAATCATTTTGGTCATTTTATGAAAAATCTTCATAAAATAAAGAAGAAATGACAAAAACACCCTTAATTTGTGTCTAATCATTTTGGCATATTGTTTATTATATTGAGGGTAATTTTGTCATTTTGATCTTATTTAACATAAGTTTTCGTCGAATGACCAAAATGATTTATGGTGGACAATCTAAGGAATCACTTCTATTGATTTCAAATCACAGAAGCCAAAGTAAGAAGTTAGGCAAATCTCAATGATTATTTGACCAAAAAGCCAAAATAATATTTAAAGGCATTAAATATGTATTGACACATGTCATTTTTTAAAGGCTTAAATGTTAAAATGATTCCTATGTTTTAGTCATTGGATCAATTTAATCTTTGTGTTTTCAATTTGGACAATTTAGTCTTGTGTTTATTTATGTTAGAATGAAATAAAATTAAAAATAAAAAAAAATTATTCTCCTCCCAACTCTCTGACCTCCTCCCTAACATTACTTCCTCTCTTTTCTATGTCACAACCTTAATCATTCTTCAGATTGAAAGTTTTATTTCTTATATGTGTTATTTCTCATTGATTTGCATTTTTTCTGTAAAGAGAAAGGATAATTATTTCTCATATGATTTTTCTTATGAATTTAAAAAAAAAATTGAATGAAATTGGCTAACAGAGACAAACACGAGGACTAAATTAGCCAAATCGAAAACACAAATACTAAATTGGCCATATGACTATAGCACATGATCCGACGACAAACGTGTCCAAAGTGTTGCATTCATATTGAGCCCAAGAATCGAACCATTGGAATTTCCAACACAAACTATCCAACCGCATTTCAACATTCTGCCTCAGACCACGACGAACCCGTGCATAAGGCAAACCTTTGGTCGGAAAATGAAGCAACCCGCAGTTTGTATAGACATATTAGAAAGTTTGTGCAAGAGACACGGTCACGAAGTACACATAAACACCGCTCCCGTTAAATCCCCCGGAACAACCGAGGGCAGATGACCATGAGAGACATGCACATCATTAACATCATTCGGGAGAGCTTGACGCTCAATATAGGTGGTCTTAGCATAAACCCACGAAAAAAAAAAACACAAAACAGAATCAACAGCACAAATACATGAATTCAAGTTTGCCACAAATTAAGCAGATACACAAGGAAAAAGAAACGCTGTGTTTATCGTGGTTCGCCACAAATTAAGACACTACACAAAAGCTGAATTTCTGTAAGGAGTGCGCATAACAGTGCGCAGGAATTCATCATCCTCTAGTCTCTACAAAATCATGGATGTTCATACTCTACACTGCAACTTTCCGGCAAACTGCACAGTTGCATTTAAGCGTTTAATAAACTCTCGTTTTTCTCTGGCAGCTACCCCCAATCAGATCTGGTTATAAGTCCAAAAGGCCAGATCTAATCTTCCTTTTCTCCAGATCTATGCTCTCTGCTTTCAGCCTCAGTGGAAGAGCTTGTAGCGGGATCAATCTGGTCTGCAGTACGAACAGGAGGTTCGTCGTCTTCTTTACTGATTGATCTAATAAGCATCGTTACTATAACCAAAAAAACCATTATGTATACGGTTCGCATCCCTAAAAATGAATTCATAACACTCCCAAATGACGGACCGCCAATTCTTTTCTTTATTATTCTTCCTTCCTTGTACCCTTGGAGGAACTGTGAGACTTGAGATGCCTGATCTTCCTCATCAATGCTTTCCGAACCATTTACCTATTTTACAAAATAATGTCAAGAAACATGTAAACATTGTAAATAGATACACAAGGAATACAAGAAGCATGGACAAGTGGTCCGAGAAACAAGAAACACATTAGAAGTGCACAAAAACACAGAAAAACCACAACACCAACCCAGAGTGCTCTCAATACAGAGCACCTGCAATCACAAAATCCAAACAAAAAGAAATATTCTGACCTATTTTGACAGGGAACATAGAGATAAACACACCACCAAAGTGATAGAACACATCTCCACAAAGTGAGCACCATCTTATGAGCCGGCTTAATCAAACAACCTTCTGACAACACCATACTGCAGTTTCTTCAGCAAACCCACCTCAAACCAAACACCCCCAAAACAAAATCTGTCTCCAGTGCAAAACTAAATGTTTCGCCCGCTCCCCCTCCTCTTTACACAATACACACCAATGAGTAGATAAACAAGGAAAGAGAGACCTTTCTGGAACAAGTCACAGGTATTAATCTTGAGGTTTTCTATTTAAACACCACACATGTCTAAGAACACTCACCAAAGTTCCTTTCTCATTATTTAACCCTTCATAATTACCAAAAGAAAAAAATAAATAAAACATACAACAGAAGCCTAGCACCGGCCTCTTGCTGCCAGCTCCTCATCCATGTCAGGCTGTGGGCCGCCATTGTTTTCAGTCTTCTCCATCAGCCCCATCTTTTTTGGATTTTCACTCTCTATTGTGTACTGATCCTTCTAAGTTATTAATCAAATAGATAATTAATTAATTAGTTGTGGATATTGAGTATTTTCATCCTAATTTTCGATCCATCCAACAGACATCTGCTTTAGTCTTCCAAAATTCAAATCTATCTCTCCTCAAAATAATCCATCCCCACAAGAGCCACCATTCCCAATCACAACTCATATCTTCTATGCATCATTACCAAAATCCTAAAGCAAAAACTAGAAGAAGACCCACATGGCCGTGAGGTCATGAACATTAGGATGAGAAGGCTATGAATCATTGAGAGAGAGAGAGAGAAAGCAAGGCTTGGGGGACATCAACGGTGGCCAGTCAGCAAGAGAGAGGGGGTTGGGGTGGCATCTTGCTGGGTTTCTATTTCTTTAGTTTAAATGTTTTCCCTTGTTGGACATGTCTGATGTTTAAATTAACTCTTAATCTTTCTGTGAGCCACTTACCGTAAATTTGTATCTTGGAGGGAATTTCAGCTGTCCAATTCAACATAAATTGCTTGAAAGGAGGATCTACACGATTGATGACCAGAAGGATGAACTATCCAAGAACCTTTATCCACTCAATTAGAATGCAAACAAATAATATTTAAAAGGGCAAACAAGTTTACATAAGCCAGGAACTCTATTGTTAAAGTTTCCACAAAACTGAAAATTCCAAGAAAATGGAACCCAGCAACAATAAGGAGGCTAAGGAGTGGATGGTAGCATTCTTGATCAAAGAGACTCTATACAAGGAAGGAAATAAAGATGGAAGAGGATAACCCCTCCCAAACATCTTCCCATTACCAACCACAATTTTTCATCAAAACTTATGTATATAATGAATTTCATAAGGCACCGATGGTCACAAATTATTTACCCAAATATATGAAACATAGATTCACCCAAAAAAAATCAGCAACCATATACCATTGTCTATACTAAATTTAGCATGGAGATCTAAAGAACATATGTCTTTCTAATAACTAATCACTTACTGTAAAGTACTCCTCCATTCGATCCCAGACAACCATTTTTGGTAGTTTTGTCTTCTTGGTGGCTCCAAAAGTATCCGCAAAGTCTTCCCACTGTTTGATCCCAACATAACCAAATACAAAGTCCCGATTTGCAGATGCAGCTGATTTCAAAATCTTGATAAGTTTCTTTGCCTTCTCTTCATCCTCATCTTCCACAATTGTCAAAACAATTTTTCTTTCATCATCGCTCAATGACTTTAATGTCTCATAATTTATGGGCATGGCCAAAGGGAACAAACTTTGTTGTATAAAATCTTCCAAAAAATCCTCTGTACATTTAAACAAAAAGAAGTAAGAGACAGAAAATGGCTGAACATAGATGAGTCGTGTTTGAGCTTTACTAAATGATGGTTAGCTTTACAATGCACAAAACACTTCCTTCAACACCATGTCATATGATATGCTCACATTAGAGAAAGTTTAACTTTGGGATAAAATTCAGCAGCAACTTCTAAACTCACCACACATCTAACTCTAAATAAAAGAGATAGCCACCATTGTCTCCTAGGTAAGCATGAACCATATAGCTCAGTTCATTATAAGGAACTAGCATAAGCTAATAGGTAAATAAACTAAAACTAGCATACGAAGAGCTAAATCAATTCATTCAAGTGTATTATTAAAAATGAAAATTCTAATAGCCTGTCCGAGAGGGTGGGGGGAATTAAACTATTACACTGACCTAACCTTTGTGATTTTTAAAAGAAGAAGCTTTCACTTGAAGAGATTGCATCCCTTATTTCATTTAGAATCACTTCACAAGCAATGGGTTTTTGTCCACATCTCAAGCACAAAAGGAACTAGGCAAGAAAAGGGTGCTAACAAGATGGCATGAAAAGCAATCTCATAAAGCTTACTCGACCACATCTATGACTTCATGTCAAAATGTATTCTTCCTTATGAAAAGACGGATCCTAAAAACAGTGCAAGCTGAAGAAATACTGTAAATTTGTGAATTTATGATATGATGTATCATTATGACTCAGAAAAATGTCACACTAACATATTATATACATATTTGAATGCACTTAGCGGTGAACTAGGACTGATCAACCAAAACAACCTAACCTTCAAAGGGGCCATAGAAGATGTTGCGCTCATCGTACGTTGGATGAAGGGATGCCAAAGCAGGAACCTTGTCAAAATCATACAACACCATTACATCCTCGGAGAAATCCTTTGCAACCGAAAACCAGGCCTTCTTTTTGTACTTTATGGCTAACTTTGATATCAGCGACTCGTCCAAGCCAAAACCAATATATATAGGAAAGTAAGTGCCAGCTGCTTCAACAAATTCACTAATAGCAGAGTCTGATTCAAGTATGGAAACATCAGGAGCTGCAAATTTCTTCAGATAGCGAACTAGCGATTCCGCTTTCCTGGGTCCATTATATTCTAAGGGGACGCCGTGCATAAACAGTTTGAGGGTAGGATATGCACTATATCAATATTCAACACAAAATTATAAATTAAAATTAAATAAAATTCTGACTGGAAATGGATATAAAAGTGATTTGAAGAAACGGGATCATACTCGATTTCGTATTTTCGAGCTACAGAGGTGAATTTGTCAGCATTAAGTTTTGCAATCGCTACTGGGTGTTTCAACCCAGCAAGCAAGGGGGCAGCTGCATCCAACTACATAAATTAAATTGATTAAAATGTAAATAAATAACAAATTTCTAACCAAGATGTGTTAATTAATCATCAAAATTAACATGGATGGAGAAAGATCTTAAATGAAAGTTGAAAATTAGGATTCTAGAGAGAGACCTGAGGAGAGAGGCGTTTGCAGTGGCCGCACCAGGGGGCGTAGAAATCAACCAAGACCAAGTCCAAGGCGGAGATGGCGGAATCGAAGTTGGAATCGTCGAGCTCCAACACCGTCCCGTCCACCGTCCACGACGACGACGCTGCTACTGCAGGCCAATCTAGTGCTGTTAATAATATCAGAAGCAGCCAACAACACAACGCCCTTACGCGCATGCGCATCGTCGACATCGTCTCAATCTCTCTCTCTTTCTCTTTCTTTCTTGTTTATCTGATTTCAGTTTTACAGTCTTTTTTCTTTTCGCCAAGGATTTCAGTCTTTCCGCTACATTAGCTTTTCATATCGTGACTTGAAAAAGAATTTAATTGAGGATAATTAAAATCTAAAATTTCATTCAAAGTTGTTTACTAAAACGTTTTGAATTTGGAGTAAAAATAAAATTGATTTCATAAAATTATTTTATTAATTTAGTAGGATCGTAATATTATTATTTCTAAATTGTTTTGTCCCAAATCAAATATTTTATTGTTATAATCTTATAAGTCATTTAATGTGTGAATAGCCAACCCACTACAACTCTACATGTTTGTCCACTAATCCACTTGCTGCCTCATCCTTCTATGTAAAATCACACACAAAAATACAAAGCCTTACAGCTAAAAAGAGAGAAAAGAAAGAAGGAAGAAGAGAGAAGCCACAAGGCTCACGACAGAAAGAAGAAAAAGATATGAGAGGATAGAGAGAGTTATCTTTGTAATCTTATTATTCCAGATTATAAATGAAAGCATCACTGCTGCTTCGAGAACGTACTCCATTCACACTAACTATAGAAGAACCTTGTAAATTTTGTGTCTTATTTATTTATTCTACTACATACACCGTGAATTTTACAACATTTATATGCTTGTTTTTTTATTAAAATTTTATATGCCCTTGTCCCTATCCATAAATTTGGTGAGAGCTGCTGCTAAAGAGAAAAGGAGTTGCACTAGAAAGTGAGACAGCCCTTTCAATGGGTTAAGCGCAATTTTGAAAATTTAAAAATAAAGGACGTCATAATGGGGAGAAAAAGTCCATTTTGATTACCCCGCAATCAGAGATCCATATACCATCAAATTGTTGGATCTATTTCCTTCAAATTTTGGAGCTGAATTCTAAAATATGCGTGAATCACATCAAATGTTTGATTTCCAAATATTTAGTAAATACCAGAGTAATTTGTAATCAAAGTTTAATATTTTATTTATTCTAATTACTTTTACGTAAATGTGTTATAAATTTAAATAGAAAATGCTCTAATGTACCACAGTTACACTTCAAAATGAAAGGATTACTGGTATGACATAGGTTATGAAGTCTTTGATATCCAAGGCATATAAATGAACATTGACTAAACTAGCATCACACTCATGACAAAATCAATTGATTAGAACTCGAATAAATTGACACAAACACACACAACATACTAATCCTAATGTTTCTTGCGTGTTGACAACATCCAATGGCGGCATGTCCACAAAAAAACACTTTCTTTCTCAAGCACCCGTATTGGTACAAAGAGCAAATGCACACTAAACATTAGTTCTACTCATGGCACCATCATTTAGTTTGTAATACTTTGTATTAAAAAAAAATGTATGTATACGTATTATTTATGTATTACAAAAGTTTTGTGTCCCTCTTTAATTGTATTTCCTCTATTTTGGTTTATTGGACAAATATACCTAATTACTAATAGAGTGAGAGGTGGGAGTTTTGTTAGAAGAGTGAGTTCGCTATTTTCTCAGGATCGAGAGTTTGAGGTGGGACTAATTGAGTAGTTCTGTCTTGATATTTTATCCAAATGGTAAGGTGGAAGTTGGTAATTAATTAATAATTAGGGTGAAGAGGTGGAGTCTATAGCATGTGTATGTTAGTCTATTAGCATGCATGAGGCAATGTTTATGGTATTAGAAGTGCTTACTCACTAGCCTAGGAGAATCTCAATCATCTGGAAAATATTATATCTTCAATGTTACTCAATCAAGCTTCCAAATATTCCAATGAGATGATAACAGTTGGACTAATGGAGACGTAAGTGAAGATTCCAAAGCATTTGATATCAGTCTTGATGCATCTCTGTATAATGGAGGGGGGGGAGAGGGGAAGCACGAACAGAGCAGCAAGACCACCACCACAGCAGCAACAACAACAACAAAGATCTTTCCTTCTCAGACCACTCTCCCCATCATTCATTTCTTTTACCTTATGTAAAGGTTCTAGACCATCTTCATTGTATTTTATAAATCTCTTGTACATAGTGAAATCCAAATGCATATGCAACTCTAGTGGACGTAGCCAAATTGGTGAACCGCTTGAACTCGAAGTGTGATTGTTTTATTGCTAGTTTTACTCTATTCTCTGTTTCTCCACTCTCCCAGCAAGAGTTATGAAACACACCACCAATAAAAAAAAAATAGTTTACTTGTGCAACTCAATTACCGTGAACTACAAATATAAGATTACTTGTGCAAGTCAATTATCGTGAACTTCAAACATAAGGAAGAAGATAGCATTAGAAATCAAGGGAAACAAAAATGGATTCCCTTGGTCATCATCAATGGACACAAACAGACACCCAACTACGAATCTACATTCCTTTAATTTAGTGTCGAATATTATTTGTATAAGAAAGTTATTTTCTCTTTTGTCATATATTTTTTTAGTAAATTACCGTTTAACCTCCTGAATTATTACCCTTTTTTCTGGTAAAGTAACCTCCTAAATTATTTGAAATTAACTAATTAACTTCCCATCAATTTCAATGAAATTTACCCGTTTCGTTGTCAAATATTGGCACATGACAAACACACGATTCACTCTTGAGTGTATAATTGTGTCAGGATTAGACGACAAAGTGGACGAAATTTATCGCATCTGATAGTAAGAGGTTTAGTTGGCTGATTTCAAATAGTTCATGGGTTAATTTACTAAAAAAAATAGTCCAAGCCGTGAAACTTAAGGCCTCGTTTAGCAGCTTGGATTGTACTGAGTATTTTTGTCGGATAGAATAAATAGCCACCGAATAGTACTGACTAAATTAGTCGGGCGTTTGGTACAGTATCGGACTAATGACCATATTATTTATGCTGTGTTTGGTTTTATAACGGATAGGAGGAATCAAACTTAAAATTAAATTAAACTTAAAAAAAAAAAAAAAAAAGAAACAATCACTTTTGTTCCAGATCTCTCCGCCGCATCCCTCAAACTCCCTCCCTCTATCTCGCTTCTTCTTCTTCCCCGATTGCAAAAGAATCCGAAATAAATTCCAACAGCCAATTGCGGAAGAATCCCAAATTGAAATCATCTCTCCGCGTGCATCATGTTTCTTTGCAAAACCCAGTTGCAGGGGAGGACGGCGAGTAGGCGATGAGGAAGGCCACAAAGAGAGGACGATGAGGAAGGCGACAAGGACTAGGAGAGCAGAGATGGTGAGAGAAAGCAACAACGATAGAAAACGACGGTGAGAGAAAGCGACAAGGAGGACGGTGATGGTGAGAGAACGTGACGGGGAGGACGACGATGCTGAGAGAAATTAATCCGGCATATACCGTGTTAAATAAGTAGACTGGTTAAATTAATCCGGCGCTTATTTAGTACGAGTGAATGCCAAACACCTGGGTCTATATAACTAGTCCTATCCGATTCTTTATCCAATTTGCCATACAGGGCCTAAGTCTTGAACTGAACCAAAGGTTAATTTGTATAGGGATTAAACGGTAATTTACTCTATATTTTTATATGTACGGTAAACGCTCACCGCCTGGTCTTGGTTGGTAAACTGGAAAATAATTTAAAACCGGGGAGAAGAGAGGGACTGTGCTGGTCAAGACGCCTAATGCACCAGATGGACCGTTTCATCTGCCTCTCTTTCCGGGGATAGAGAGAGGGAGAGAGGGAGAGAGCAACTGCTAAAATCGCCGCCGATCGGGACCAACCCAGTATGCAGTTAAAGCCCTTCAACTCCTTCAGCATCGCCTTCATGATGAGCGGCGCACTCTTGCTCGTTTTCTTCTGCAGCTTCCTCGAATTCCCTTTTCTATCAACCTCAATCAAACCCATCAACGATCCGACCAAGTTCACACCCGACCCGTTTACCAACTTGATCGGCGCCTTCAGGAAGTGGGATGCCCAAGTGGGTTGCTCTCGTTTCAGAGAGAAGCACAAGCTGCAGATGTTGCAGAACAAGTCTTCTTCTCTGCAACAAATTCGCGGCGAATCGGAGTGTGGGGAGGCGAAATCGGAGCATGTTAGCGTGCTGGTGAAAGGGTGGACTTGGATTCCTGATAATTTGGATAGTTTGTATTCATGCTCGTGTGGGTTGAGCTGTTTGTGGACTAAATCTCCTGTTCTTGCTGACAAGCCTGATGCTTTGCTGTTTGAGACTACTACACCTCCCCTTCAGGTACTCCATTTTCTTTCTAAATGTTGTAACTGTCATTGATTTCAATTAATTCGTATTATATGTATATATGTATGTATATGTGTGTTTTTACATTTTCATGTATAGCTTGGTTTCTTCGGATCACGATTTATTGATAGAATGTGGTTAAATCTCCAAGAAGTTTCTTTTTTATTTTAGAACACATTTATAGGGCGAGCATTTGGAATGATAAACGGAAATATAGCAGACAGTGGCAGATCTAGGAATTTTTCCTCGTGAGTCCGAAATTATGCCCCAGTTTTTACTTTCCTTACGAAAGTTGCTTCTTTGAGCTTTCTTTTTCTTCAAACATTTCGGGGGAGAACACCGGAAATTAAAGGGAAAATACCTTAGAAGTATAATGCGAAGAGATTGAACTGGTGCGGTCGCTTGACTACATTCCGTTCCATTTTTGATCCACCACGGTAGGAAGAAGACTCTGCTTCCCCACTTTTTCTGTGTTGAGGTTATGGGAGGGAGTAGTAAAAGACTACATTCAATGCAGGTCAAGAGCTATATATGTATCCAGTTTCTTCTGGTCCATGCTTTTACATGATTAACTCGTATTTAAGAGCTACTTGATTCTTTTACTTGGAAAGTGCATGAGGCTTACTACTACAAGATAGGGAAAGGAGCTAGACCACTATGGTTACTGCCTTGGGTTAGCACTTTGCACTCCCATTATATACTTGCAGTAGCATTATGTAAATTCCCTTGCGTACTTGTGGCAACAGTTTATAATGTCACTCTGGTGTCTTGCGACTTTACAATAAGATTTTTTATTGGTTGGTAGATGCAATAGGAGT